TCAAGTGATAACAAGTAATTTAGTGTTCTTGGAGTTTTTGTTTTTTGTTTTTTTTGTGAGGAAGATCAGCCCTGAGCTAACATCTATGCTAATCCTCCTCTTTTTGCTGAGGAAGACCGGCCCTGAGCTAACATCTATTGCCAACCCTCCTCCTTTTTTTTTTTTTTCCCCCAAAGCCCCAGTAGATAGTTGTATGTCATAGTTGCACATCCTTCTAGTTGCTGTATGTGGGACGTGGCCTCAGCATGGCCGGAGAAGCGGTGTGTCGGTGTGCACCCGGGATCCGAACCCGGGCCGCCAGTAGCGGAGCATGCGGACTTAACTGCCAAGCCACGGGGCCGGCCCTAGTGTTCTTGGAGTTTAGAGGACATGTTTGGGCATGTCAAATGATGCTGGAGAAAAAAACAGGATTAATATAGCAAAGGGTTTAATAATACTAAGGAGATAGGACATATTTGGGGAAATATTTAAGGATTTTACATGACTTGATTTTTATTCTAGAAAAATCATCCCATATTCTGTAATTTTGGAGTGGAGGGAAATTGAATGTAGGGAAATTAGTGAGGAGTCTATTGCAATTGTTTGGGCCCTAGTTTTAAGAGCTGATTTAATAAATTGGTAGAGAATATAGATGATATGGAATAGATTGAAGAGATATTTTTTGATAGAATTTAGTGATGTATTGGGTGGAAAGAGGAAGAGAGAAATAGGAATGTGAGTTTATTGCTTGGTTGGCAAAGTGGAGAATGGTTTTAATGACTATATGTAATGCAGTGTGAGATGCGGATTGGGGATGTTTCCTTATGGGGGAGATAATTATTTCAGGTTTTGACACATAAGTAGAGAAATGAAATTGTAAGTCACTTTATAGGTTTGTAATTTAAGAGATAATTCCTGACAGGAGATACAGCTATGTGGATAATCAGCATATGTGAGATAGTAAGATGTAGCAAGGAAAGTGATCATTCGAGGAGAGTTAGCAAAGAGAAGTGAAAAAAGAAGAAAGCCTAAATTATACAAATATTTAAGTGGTTTGCAGAAAAAGAGGAACCAGCAAACAGACTGAGAAATAAAAAGTGAAAAGGTAGAAAAATTAGGAGTATGCTATTACTGCAACCAAGTAAGAGTTGAGTAATGAAAACAAATTGACATTGCCAAATCAAGCTTGGAGACCAAATATGACATGTATAAGTGACTATTACTTAGTGATTTAATAGTCAGCTGATAATTGAATGCCAGTTGCAGATCAGATAGCTTAGTTAGTCCTAGAGATATAGGATAAAGAGAGAGTTGTTAAACTTGGTGAATTTATGTTGCAGTGGGGAAAATAGAACAATAATTGCATCATAGCATAAGCTTGTTAAATGAAAAAACAAATAAAGATTTAGTAAGGAGAAACTTTATTCAAAAGGATTTTTGCAAGAGTGGGAAAGGGGCTATTGCAATAGGCAAAGGGGGCCTATTGCAATAGGGAGAAGGCTCTGACATTAAGATCTGCAGACATATTAAAAGTTAGGCAAAAAGGGTTTTTCTTTCAGAGGGAGTAGTAAACAAGGCCAGAAAGAACTGTGGGTAAATAGGATGAAGGTGAGTGGCATGGTCTGGCAGTATATCAGAGAAGACTGTACCCTGACAGTAGCCTATTCTCAGGAGGGGCTGTTAAGGATGGGTTGTACGCTGTCTCAGGCTGAAGGTGGGCCAAAGTTCAGGGGCCTAGGGGAAGGAGAGAATCTTAACCAACTTTGGTTAACAAGCATTTTGTTCTAATTGGTCAGTGGGGACAAAGCAGTTCAACTAATTATTGACAGGCAAAGAATGGGGATTTAGAGGGTCTGTGTCAGGACCTTGTCATAGGTAAACAAGAGGGGCATTCATGGATATTATCTAAGTAATATGGGGGAAGGGTTCTTCTTTGCAGTAAGCCATTTCCTGAGACAAAAGGATGAGGAGATTTCTTAACCTTCACTGTTTTCCAGGATCACAGGGCTAGGGTAAAATTTAACATTGTCAGGTGTGACAAATGAGTTATTGCACAGGATAAATTGTAGAAGGATATTGAACTCAGATCAATATTAAGAAAGGCTTCTTGGAGGAAAGAACTGAGTCTTGAAAAGACTAGGATAGTGAGAAAAGTAATTGAGAAGGACAGTTAAGAAACTGGAATGGTATCTGTAAAAAGCATTGAGGTTTATCAGGTAATTTTCAGGGGGGTAAGTATTGGATATTGTCAGAGTGGAAGGTGTTATATGTAGGGTGAAGGGAGATGAAATTGAGGAGGTAAGGAGGGACTAGATCAAGGATTTTGTGTGCCAATTCAAGAAATTTGTAATTTATCTTTCAGTGATGTGCCAGTGAAATATATTAAGCAAGGATGCCATATGATCAGATTTGCATTTAGGAAAGTTTACTTTAGCAATAGTGCATTTTATGGTTTGGAGAGAGTGGGGGAATGGGGATTATTTCAGATATTAGTTAGGACATTTTTAGTAAGTTAGGGAAGAAGTGATAAAGACATGCAATAAAGCAGTGACAGAGAATAGAAGAAAAGGGAGAGGTCAGACAGATATTTGAGATGTTGAATAAACTGGGCCTGGCAACATTTGGATACGAAGAAGCATGAGAGAAAAGAGAGCCTAGGATGGTTCCAGGATTTCTGGGTTAGGTAACTAAGGGCACTAGTGCCATTCACTAAGAGCATATGAGAAAGCAGGTTAGGGAGGAAGATTCATGTTTGGGAAAGTTGAGTTTAATTGGATATCAGTTTGACCATATGGTTCTGTAGCTCACGAGAGAGTTCAGGCTTAAAGCTAGAAATCTGTGAGTCATAAGCACATAGGTGAGTGTTGAAGCTATGAATTTGAATGCAATCATCTGCAAAGTGTGTTCGGATTGAAAAGAGACAAATGGGGAAAATCCTTTCAATATGACTTTAAGCAGAGTATGGATAGGTCTTTAAAAAGTCCATAAGTAAACAAGATTTATATAAGGAAAACTAGGAGAAGTGGTATATAGAAGCCAAGGGAAATGTTTCAAGGAGGAATGTCCATTGATAATTTTGTAAGAAAAGCATCAGATAGGATGGTAGGGATAGAAGCCAGTGGAATGAGATACAGGAAGGGAGAAGGTGGGGGCAGCAAATGTGGAATTCTGTTTCAAGAATTTGGGCTTTTAATGAAAGTTAGATACAAAGGATGGAGGGTCGGAACATGTGTGATTATTTGTGTGCATTTTAAAGATGGATGAGGCTAAATCATATTTACAGGTAAAGGGATAGTGACAGTAGAGGACAAGTAATTAAAAACAGAGGGAGGGGCCAGTCTGGTGGCATAGCAGTTAAGTTCACATGCTCCTCTTTGGCAGCCTAGGGTTGGCAGGTTTGGGTCCGGCCTGGCCACTTGTCAAGCCATGCTGTAGCAGCCTCCCATATAAAGTAGAGGAAGAAGGGGCACGGATATTAGCCCAGGGCCAAACTTCCTCATAAAAAGAGGAGGAGTGGCAACAGATGTTAGCTCAGGGCTAATCTTCCTCACACACACACACACCAAAAAAAAAAAAAAAAAAAACGAATAGAAAAACTGAGGGATATGGGACTTAGCCAATCTTGGACAGGAAGAGAGATACTTCTTGTTTTATCATTGAGTAGAAGGCACTTCTACTCAGTATATATAGGAATATAGTTAAATGGTAATATAATTAAATTTGTAGGGAAGGGAGGAGAGTTAGTTGATGGAGTTCAGACTTGATAGCCCTAATTTTTCTGTGAAAAGGAAGCAAGATGTTTAGGGAGCTCTAGGGAGAAGTCTTGAAGAGTATTGAGAATAGTACTGAAGGTTTGCAGTAGCTCCTGTTGGAAATAGAACCAAGTCAGGGCCAAGTAAAGAACTTGCTTGAGCCAGCCCTGATGGCCTAGTGGTTGAAATTCCACGCATTCTGCTTCAGCGGCCCTGGCTGGGTTCCTGGGTGCAGAACCACCCCACTTGTCTGTCTGTAGTCATGCTGTGGCGGCAGCTCGCGTGGAAGAGCCGGAACTTACAACTGTACACAGCTATGTACTGGGGCTGTGCAGGGGGCGAGGCAGAGGAAGGGAAAAGGAGGAATATTGGCAATAGGTGTTAGCTTAGGGCGAAGCTTCCCATGCAAAAAAAAAAAAAAAGTAATTTGCTAATTAGCAATGAATGTTTGCAAGTATAAACCTGAAGTAGCCTTAAACCGCAAGGCTTTGTGATTTCTTGTTTCTAGCAGTATGTAGCTGATTGAGTGTACAGGAGGAAAAGGTGTGTGTTTTTAATGTGTTGGGGTTGGTAATTTTCAGGGTGGGTGCCTTACAAACAATATGAATTTTAGGTTTTTAATGCATAATCCTTACATTGAAAACATAAGTAAAGTGGCTTTATTTCTAACCAGTCAAATGATCAATAGGCTATAGAGAATCTATGATCTCAAATCTAAAAATTTGCAGACAACAAGATCTTAGAGATAATTTCTTTAAAGATAATATAGAATATTTTTCCCCCGGGGGAATGTGCTGTGTTCCAGTAAAAGTGTCCAACATTCTAGTTAAGCTGCAACAAAATTTTGAACTACTGTAAATTGTTTTATAAATCCAACATATGTCAGTTTTCTCTAAGGGGATCCACAGAATACCTTTAGAGTTTCGTTGGATACCTATTCATGGACTACCTTTCAGAGATCAACAAGATTGTGGTCAAAATTTTATACCTGTTATATCAGATTGAGAGAAGAAGATAGAATGGAGAAAATTATCATCATGGATCTTGCATTTTGTGTAGAGAATTGAAATTATTTGATGCTACTAATTCTTGATCTTCTGATCTTGATTTAATGAAATAGATATGAAAATGTGTTTATTTTTTAATTGTTATGCCTATAAGACACCTGTGAACATTTTAGTAGTTTATACAATTAGACTAGCAAGTTTAAAATGTCTTTTGGAAATACCTTCATGAAATATAAATATTAAATATATTTTCTTTTTATAGGGATCAACCTATGAGGATGAAATTAGTAATATTAAATATATTATTTCAAAAATTAATGAAATTCTGGCTCATAATTCACCAGTTTTGATTATTCAAAGATGGATACGTGGTTTCTTAGTTAGAAAAAATTTGAGGTATGTTTTATTTTTTTACTATTTGAATATTAGAATCAGATGAGTAAATCAGTGATAAAAAGGCAATTCTCCAATAATATACATTTTTGTATTCCCTATCAAAATGGTATTTTATAGACTGAACTAGTTTTAAGGAAAACACCACATACTCTATAGTAATATATTGTGATATTTAGCATAATCAAAATTTGATACTTTTATTTTTTCTTTTAAATTGACCATATAAATAACTAATCAATACAATTATTAATCATTGAGTAATTCTGACAGTTTTTTAATTAAACTTAAAAACATCAAAAACATATAAGAATTTTATCTCATGTAATGAGATGTAATAGAAATATAAGCCATGTACTAATATAATGGGATAAAATAGAAATATAAACCAGGAAACACATGTACAAAGATTTTATATTTCGTTTGGATGTGAAGATAATTTTGCTGAAACATCTGCTACCACATCATTCTGCATCATCCTTCAGTTTATTGTCTTTGCCTCTCTCTTTTTTCCTTGCATTCCTTCCCAGTAGCTGACATTTGCAAATAGAGGACAACTTTTCTTGCTGGAATCCCTCAACATTGTATTTGGCGAGATAAGATAGGATATTCAGTCATCAATTTGTTTATACTAGTCATGCCAAACATCAAACAAATGAAAAAATATCATTCTTATATAGGATATTCTCAGATGCTAAATTAGAGTTCAGAAGATAGAAATGAAATTTGACCCTGAAATATAGGCAGCATTAAATAGATCTGGAGTTCGGCAGTGGACATTCCCTGAGAAAGCCAGATTAGGAGGTTTCACTGAAATGATATTCGTCATTCTGTGGTAAGGCAGAGAGAATGTTCTCCTGCATTAGTCTACATGTGCTAATCATAGATGGCAATAGCCCTGATAAAGAGAGAGAAGTATGCGGGACAAGTAGCAAAACTGACCATAATACAGTGCCTGCAACTTCTGAGGAGGAGGTTCCACATACTTTCCAAACGAAGGTCAAAGTGTGAGAGCAAGTGGCCTCACAAGTGGGAACAAGTAAAATGATTTGGAATAAAGGATGTGGAAAAGGATGAGGCAGTTGCTGACAGGTACGTGTTTATTTAAAATGTTATTTCTGTCTCATATGTTCCACTTAAATTTAGTATGCATTTTATATGAAATAAACATCTACTTAAAGGCATTTGTTTTTGGCTTATGCCCCTGGGATTGATTAGTGTTAGCATGGTATATATTTCTCCATCACTCTGCCTTTAATCTATATCTGTCTTTATATTTTAAATGGGTTTCTTGTAGACAAAATCTAGTTGGGTCTTGTTTTTGATCTACTCTGATAATCTCTGTCTTTTAATTGGTGCATTTAGACCATTGATATTTATAGTGCTTATTGATATAAGTTGGATTAATATCTCTCAGATTCATTACTATTTGCTTTGTTGCCATTGTTCTTTTTTCATATTTTTGTCTTCCATTCTTTTTCTGCCTTTTTTGGTCTTAATTGAACATCTTATATGATTATATTTTCTTAGCATATCAGATATATAAATTTTTTTCTATTTTTTTAATGTTTTTTAATGTTTTCCATAGAGTTTGCAATATACATTTATAGCTAATCCAAGTCCACTTTCAAATAGTACTTTACCACTTCATAGGTAGTGTTAGTACCTTATAAGAACAAAACAATCCTAATTCTTCCCTCCTGTCCCTTTTATCATTGCTTTCATCATTTCACTTATATATAAGCATACCTTCATATATATATCATATATATATATACATAATTATATATATGGTTGGCATTATTATTTTGAACAAACTGTTATCTGTTAGGTCAATTAACAATAAGAAAAATAAGTTTTATTTTACCTTCACTTATTCCTTCTTGGATACTCGTCGTTACTTTTTGTAGGTCCAAGATAATGATCTATAATATTTTCCTTCTCTCTAAAGAACTTCTTTTAACATTTTTTTGCAAGGCAGGTACTGGCAACAAATTCTCTCAGTTTTTATTTGTCTAAGAAAGTCTATCTCTCCTTCACTTTTGAAGGATAATTTCTAAAGGAACAGAATTCTAAGTTGGTAGTTTTTGTTTCTCTCAACACTTGAAACATTTCAACCTACTTTCTTCTTGGTTGCATGATCTCTGTGAAGTCATATATAATTCTTATTTTTATTCCTCTGCAGGTAGAAATTTTTTTTCCCCTCTGGCTTCTTTCAAGATTTTTTTTTATTTATCTGTGAATTTCCGTAGCTTGAAAATGATAAGCATAGTTGTAGGTTTTGGCATTTTTCCTGCTTCATGGTCTATGAGCTTCTTGGATCTGTCATTTGTTGTCTGATATTAATTTTGGGAAATTCTCCATCATTATTGTTTCAAATATTTCTTCTCTTCCTTTATCTCTTTCTTCTCCTTCTAGTATTTCCATCACATATATGTTACACCTTTGTAGTTGTCCCACAGTCCTTGGATATTATTTTCTCGTTTTTTTAATCTGTATTTTCTTTTCTTTTTCATTTTCAAGGGTTCTCTTGACAGATCCTCTAGCTCAGAAATTCTTTCCTCAGCCATGTGCAGTCTTCTAATAAGCCCATCATAAACATTCTTCATTTCTGTTACAGTGTTTTTGATCTCTGGCATTTCTTTTTGCTTGTTTCTTAGGATTTCCACGTCTCTGCTTACGTTGCCCATCTGTTCTTGCATGCTGTGTACTTTATCCATTAGAGCCCTTGGCATATTATTCATAGTTGTTTTAAAGTTCTGGTCTGAAAATTCCAACATCCCTGCCATGTCTGTTTCTGATGATTGCTCTGTCTCTTCAAATTGTGTTTTTTTCCTTTTGGTATGCCTTGTAATTTTTCCTTGATAGCTGAACATGATGTACTGGGTAAAAGGAACTGCTGTAATTAGGTCTTAGTAATGTGGTACTAAGGTTGGGGGAGGGGTAGCATTCTATAGTCCTGTGAGTAAGTCTCAGTCTTTAGTGAGTTTGTGCCTCTGGACTATAAACTTTATAAGAGTGTCTCAGTTCTGCCCCCGGGCCGGCCCCCCCCCCCCCCTTAGATGTGACTGGATTGCTAAACTGGGCTGGAGTTTGGTATCTCCCTTCTCCCATGTGGAGGGCTCAGGCAACTCAAGCTGGAGTTGATTTTTCCCTTCCCTCAGGTCAGTTAGGCTCAGATAACACCCCAGCAGGTTAGACTATGGTTAACTAGTTTCCCCTGAAGGCAGTTCTTGTTGAGAAGAACAGAGTGCTCTGGTGCATGTTAAAATGGCTCCTTTTCCCCTCCCCCTGCTGGAAGCCTGAGGGGATTTTTCTCTGATGTTTGCTATGGGAACCTGGTTGAGCTCCTGGAGGTAAATCTCACAATATTGTGGCAGCCTCCTTATGACTAGGTCCTCCTGGAGTTTTTGCCTCTCAGTGTTGTCCACACTGAGCCTCTAGCAGTTCTTCAGTAACAGTTCAGATTTTCCTTCCCCAGCACTGGTTTTGCCAGCGTTTTTCTCTTGTGACTCTTTGCTCAGGTAAGCCATGATGACTTATATTCACTTGCTTGTCTCTCAAATCTTGGAGGCAGCAGTTTGCCCTGAGTCCTCGCCTTTCTTAGGGATCCAAAAGAGTCATTGGTTTTTCAATCTGTTCAGCTTTTTACCTTTTGTTAGGACAGGATGGCAGTTTCCAAACTCCTTATATGCAGAACTGGACTTAAGTTTATTTTGAAATAATAGGTTATAATTTTCATCTTTTTTGTAGTCTTCATTGTCTGGCTTGCTTTTGTAGTCTATAGTGATGTTATTTTGCTTCTTATTCTCTTTTTGCTATACGAGATTAGACTGTGATCCATTTGTATTGCCCTTTTTATGAGAAATCAGTTTTTCTGAGATTTAAGAAGCTTTTCTTCATGTTCTAAAGTTCCTTCTCCTGTTTTTGTTTGTTTGTTTTGTGTGTGTGTGTAGTTTCTGAAAATATCATGGCTTACTTTCTGAGTTTTCTGACTCTGGTCCCCAGCACTCCCTTTTTAATGTGGACTTTTATTTCTCTTTTTCTCTGTTGTCTCTGTGCTGCTCAATTTTGTTTCTATATTCAGGAGTTTCTTCTCAGTTTGGGGCTTTGACCTTGAGGGGAGCATTGGCTAGTTAGTTTTGGGGGTTCATAGGCCCAGAATACTCCAGACCCTTCAAGACGACCCCTTGTATTCACACACTATTGGAATACGCAAAACCCTTCCAGGATTTGGCTTCTGTTCTTGCTTCTGCATGCTTTCTAGGGAGTGTCTTTAACTTTTTTTATTCCTGTCCATCAGATGCCTCATTGCTTTTGTGGGAGATCAAGATTTGGCCACCCTGAAATCTATCTCTTTACCTTGGTTGTTTTCTCTAGGGACATTTGACCTCCCCCACTAACTGCCTAAAGAATTTGACATGGTAGCTCCTTCCTGGAACAGATCTATCATGATGGCTGTAAAGATAACATAGGGTAAATGTTACAATAGGAAAGGCACCAACAAGCCCCTCTTATCAGAAGTTCTGTCTCTCTGGCCACATTCTCTGGATGACCCTGCGAAGAGTTGCCAGACAATCATTTACATTTATAAGGGAAATCTCCATTTGTAAAGGTATCTCCCTCTCTGTTTTGAGAAGAGAGGGGGATGAGCTCATTTCTAGTGACTTATCAATGTGGAAGGTGAGGCCTTGAGCTGCATAATAACCTTACTCTTATTTACTGTGCTTTAGTGGTAATCTCCTGTAACTGACTCCCCCCACCCCCAAAATCCTCCTTTGTCATTGGCTGAAAATGATATTTAAGACGAGAATTTCTGCTATTGTGTTGAGAAACGCAGTGTCCCTGCTTTCTCACATGTATACATGTTATTAAACTTGGTATTATTTTCTCCTGCTAACCTGTCTTGTTGATTGTTTGGCCAGCCAGAAGAACCTTAAGGGAAAGGGCAGAGAGAGATCCTCCCTCTTCCCCCGACACTTTCATGTGTTTCCTCCTGCATA